GTGAGGGTTCTCCACCCCGCACAACATGATCTACTCGACCACCATTATGGTTACCGCCAAAAAAAAACGGAGGTACGGAGGAAAAAAAAAAAACGGTAACCTGGTTGCCGAGCTCACGAAGTGACTTGGCTTGTTTCACAACGTCGTTGCTAAGCAACAAAAACCCAATCCCGATGGCAAACACCGGGGGGGGGCGCTTGTTTTACAACGTCGTTGCCAAGCGACGAAAACCCAACCCCGATGGCAAACACCGGGGGCGGGGGGACGGTGGAGAGAGTAAATAGCTCTCAGGACATGGACTGAGTAAAGAAGAGTTGACCGGTCCACCCATCCAGAGGACGTTTTTCGCAAGGGTCCATGTACCACCGGGGTACACTCCTAGCGTTGTTTGTCCCATCTGAAAAGAAGGGCATGGTTTTTCAATTTTTCCGAGAGCCGAGAGCAGGTTTTAGGTCAACAAAATGAGAGATACATGAGTTACGAGCTGTTTCCGAACGAACTGTAAACGAGTTTATCGGAGCATTTCCGGAGGAAGAGTTCCTCCGCCGCGAGCGAGTTCGACTAGTAAGGAGGGTGTGAAGCAAGACTCTATTGTGAAACCCGCCGTGAACAGCGCGAGGTTTAGACTGTACAGGATCGGCCAGAACAAAAGAGGGTGTACTCGAAAACAACAAAATATGGTTTGTCAAACATCGAGCAGAACGTGACGCAGTATCTGCTGCAAGCGGACACTTGAGAAGGCAAGCCATATTGGTCGGTTGAAGTGCACCGGGCAATGGCTCAGCGTCCAACCAACCCGCCGATTTACTGGATCTAGAATTCACAAGAAATATGTCAGGCGTGACCCTTAGGACTACGGCAATAACATCACGAACCTTTCTCCACCTTCCAACCCTCACCCTCCTCGCCATTACCCAACCCGGCCTCCTTTTTGCCGAAGATGAGCGCAACAAGTCTACCCCTTGGCGACCGCCGGGAAGCCCCAGCTCGGCCAACGTGGTAGCCACCGCGGTAGCGGCGACGGCGGCGGCGGCCGCGGCCATGGCAAGGTCGGCGAGGCCGACAATGAACCCTCACCGGAACAGAATCAGCCGTTCTAAGGGTGGCCCGATAAGGCAAGGCTCGGTGGACAGGAGGGGTCCCCCCCGTGACGACGAGTTTTCACACGCGGGAGGAGGTTGGGGAGACGGGCGGGTGGGGGGCGAGGAAGGAGGGTCACCGGTGTCCGTGAGAGGGACTTACTGCGAGGAGAGGTCGGTCGGGCGAAGTTGAGAGCGAACTGTTTCGCCTAGTTGTTTGCTAGTGTTGCTGCTGTTATTGTTGACAACGTGCCTGGTGTTGCTGGTGCCATTGGGAGGGGCGCCCTCAGCGTGAGTGTAGTTCCGATCCATTTGATACTTAACAGCTTTGGAGGCCTATTTCATTCAGCGTTCGCGGACCTCTCTGACTAGTATAACCCACCACCACTGACGTTCTCCGAGCAACACTCAAACATCCTCCTTCGACTTCAGCAGTAGATGTTCGTTCTCCAAAAACCGCATACGGGGAGACTGGAGATGCCCCCGCCAGCCCCACCACCTGTTGTGCTAGCCCCCATACACCGGGAGTAGTGCCAGCAGCGGGCCACTCTTGCGCTACTGCACGTACACATCCCGCGTGGCTGCTAGAGGTTACTACACCATAACCCCACGCCAGGTGTTCTCGATCTCCCCAACGGTTATTTTTTTTCGTTTTAGGCCGCACTTCGTCCTGCCTTTTCAACAGCCCCACTCACATTACGTAGGTTGTGTAAGATTCCACTCCTCCTGGTTGGATCTTCGACGCTTGATCACTCTGTACCACAACGGTAATGGCAATGAATGCGGCGGCGTTGGAACCGTCAAGAGTTTCCTGAAAACGTGCATTTGACTTGGAGTCCCCTGTGGGGTGGAAGAATCGATCCGCCATATATCGATCTAGGAGGGTGGAATCTTTCGCGCGACCTGCGGCAAAGGCCTCGGTGACCCTTCATGTCGCCACTGCTGTTTTAACGCGCTTGTTTGCCACCTTGCTCCTTCCCGACGGAAAAAATTTCCAGGGGTGACGAGGGAGCGGAGGGCTTCGAGGAACAGTCCTCGCCACCGGCCACCTCCCGCCGAGCTGCCCCTGCAACCCGTCCGTCGCTCCCCTTTCCGAGACAGCAGAACCAGCGGCAGCAGCCGCCGCGGGAGCGGCAACAACAGCAGCAACAGCCAACGTACCTGGCACCGACGGCGAGCTCTCGCCACAAGCGGAGGCCAACCAACGCGGTCAACGCTGAGGTGATCTAAAAAAACTCTGTTTTCGGCCATCAGTGAACGAACGTCGATGAGCATCATTTCTGTTGCGCGTTTCCGCTTGTTCTCCTTGGTGCCTGCCATGAAATGGTAGCTTGGGGCGATCGCACAAAGCTCGAGCTCCCTGTAGCAACGAATACACAGACGCCTTGAAAAACACACAATGGAGAGAGGGAATGATCGGCTGCTCCTCTTGGCGTTTGATCTATTTATTTCGCCGCCATCCAGTTACCCTTTCCGGGTCTAACGTCATCCCTGCCCGCCACCTACACTTGCACTCGCCTCCCGCACCTGTTCGTCCTTGCAATGTACCCCCCCCTCCCCCCCTTCCCCCCCTCAAACAGGCTCCCCCAACCCCTGGACAGGCTTCACCGCCAAAGGGTCAAGGCAGAAACTCGACCCGGGCTTCCTCGGGCAAAGGGATCCAAAACCGTACACCACCGGCGGCACATCCCAGACCGGTCTTCCGGCCTTCGGGGATAGCGATGTCGCCCCCGCGGCCGGCGTCGCCGGCGTCGCCTCGGAAGCGAAAGCAGTCCCTCGAGCGACGGGAGTCTTCCCAATCCCCCCCCCTTCCTCCACCTGGTCAGCTGTACTCGCGATCGCCACAACGGAAGCCGCGGCCGCGTCCTGACCAGTCGACCGGCCATCACGGCGGCACTCGGTCTGCCTCGCCCCCGAAAACAACCCGGGTCGACCGGGGGGGTCGGTCCCCACCGCCCTCATCCCGCCGAGTGCCTAGCGAGCAGCTGCGGCGGCACGTCTCCCCCCCTCCCCGGCTGCAACCGCAGCATCAGCAGCAGAAGCTGCTGCAGGAGCAACAGCAGTACCGGTACCACCCAAGAGAGTCTCGACGGGCATTGGCGCCGGCGGGGATCCAAGATCGATACGACGGCGGTGGCGGTCATCGTGGCGCCTGCGGTCTGAGTGAAACCGGCGGCCACGAACGAGCGGGGGGGCAACAGCACAACGACAGAGGCGGAGACAGGGGGCGACGGAGTATGGGAAGGGTCTTGTACCCGTATGGAGCTGTGTACAGCAGAAGCTTTGACACGGGTGAGTTTTTCTACGGGGTCGGCAGCAAGATGCCCGTCTCTTCCCCTGCACAACCCCCGCACCGACGGGAACACGGCGGCGGCGGTGGCGGTGGCGCCGACAGTGGCACCGTCAGCCGGTGGGACAGGGGTTTCGTGGATTCTTTCCCCCGTCGTTCCGCGGCTGATTCTCTACTCAATAGCGGCGACGGCGGCATCGACGGTGGTGGTAGGTGGGAGCGTAGAGGGTCATCATCATCAGCACTACCGGAGAGCCTCGAGAGTTTCCAATTCCGTGGATCTGGATCGCATGCCGACAACTACGAAACCACGGCCGTGGGGGAGGGGGCTGCGGCCGTTCAAGCGTTAGGAAGGGAAGGACTACGGGCGAGCGCGATCCCCACCCCGCGCTACCATCAACAACGAAGAGGCAGCAGCGGCCGGGGCGGCATCGTTGTGGGGAGCGACGCCCCCAGCGGCGAAAGAGCAAGAGGCCGAATTGCGAGCCTCGGTGGCCACGGCGGCGGCGGCGGCGGCGGCGGCGGTGGTGGTGGTGGTGGGTACCGCCGTAGAAGTAGGCGTGGTGATTGAGCCAAACGCACGGGGGGGTGACGCCGGCGAGGGGATTCTCTCGAAAAGTGCCGTTGATGTGCTTGCAGTCAGAGAAATAGAGAGAGCGAGTGTATAGTCTACAGTGAACGAGGCACTGAAGAGGTAATTATGGTCGCTGTGAGCCATGTTTCGGATCCAGCCCCCCATTGCTGTGAAATTGACCCGTTCGATGTCGCCATGGTTTGACGCCGCCAAAACGCAAGGACAGCAGCGTTGTATCCATATGAACACGTGTCGACGAGGTTTTCGCCGTACAAATATGTTTTGGCAGATAGTCAAGAGAGCCAAAGGTTCCGCGGGCGCGCTCGTGCGCTTCGTCCTCCTACCACGCACATGAATCCAACGTATGGACGTTGTTGGCTCACAAAAGCATATGCTGTTGCACGTGCATTTTAGAGGGGTGGCTCTCAAGCCTACAAGTACAGTGGTCAATCCTGCCAGTGGTAGCTGTCCGCGACCCAACGGCTTCCTCTCCTTGGGGCATCGCCTTCTTCTCTGAACCGTATTTCCCTTCCTCCCTAGAGCTTGCCTTCACCATGAATGCAAGTTGGCTCTTAACACAACAGGTTTGGCCTTTTCGTGCCAAAGTTGCACGTGCTCCTCTTGCCCGGGAAGCTCAGGATGTTCTTCGAACGGCTGTCGGTACACAAGACGCCGTATTGTTTTTGCCACGCGGAAGATTTTCTCTAACAGGGGGTAGCCCCGGCCTCGTCTGAAGCCCTGTGCCTTTTTTTCCCGAAGAGGTGGACATCTGTGTGGCGTATGATGCGAGTTTATCGACGTTCTGAAGATGGGCTTGGTTGAGGTTGGATAAGAGAGTATAAAAAATGACCAATGAACACAACTTGGGGTGCGAACCCCTGACGGCGTTACCCTCATCAGACGTTCGCACACGATATAACCGCAATTTTGTTGGAAACGGTTTGGGTGGGAAAGATAATGCCACTCGTAAGTTTTTATGTTACACACAATAGAGGCGACAGAGGGACAGGCCACCTCTTTACACCTCTATGCACCCAGCCAATTGGCGAATGAAAAGAAGACACAAGACGAATGTGTAAAACCCCGACAACCAGGTGGTTCAAGAAACAGAGATTGGGCGGCATGGAGGAGAGGGGCACGGGCCGATTGGTCGGCTTTGAACCACAATTTTCTCCCGCCTGCCTGACCTGTTACGAGCTTTCTTGATTCGGGGCTTCGACTTTCGATCTTGTTCTCCATCGATTGAGACAATACCCACGCCCGCCGTATCTATACACGCAATGCACAGGCTGCCCGATCGACAACGGATTCTTCATTGATTCGCCCATCGGTACACGCAGCTACCGATTGCGAACGTTGTTGTCCGGTTTCGACAATGAACACACACAGACGCCGCCTATCCACCCGTGCCAGACGGATTCGGCAGGCGCCCCTCGCTTTTCGCACAATCCACCCTACAAACAGCCCAATCAGTCTTGGCCCTGTCATTCAACCCTTGCTCGCCGCATCACACAACCATCCCACGCCAGCAGACAAGCACACGCGCACCTTGATCCTTTATCGCGCCAAGAACCTCAACCCGTAGGGATTGTTTCACAGGGGAAAGCAAAACACAGGAGCCATATGGGCAACGCCGTACATAGTGAAAGAAAAAGAAAAGAATAAAAGTGAAGAACGGAGACGCAAACATGAGAAAGCCATCTAGGCCCACGTTTCTAAAACCAGCCCAACATTGTTGGAGGTGGCTAGTGCGCATTGCTTCTCTCTCTCTCTCTCTCTCTCTCTCTCTCTCTCTCTCTCT